TTTTGGTCTATGCTTTGTGGGGAAATTTTGACATGCCGGTCGAAGTCTTTGGGCAACGGAAACGGTGATTAGTAGCTGTAGGCTCCATGGACCAGAGCTTATCTCAGTGATGCATTGCATCCACACATCATTTTTGTCCTAGTCCAATTCGGTTAATCCTTCACCTACACTTTTTCTCATCATAGAAATTTCTACCACTTCAACTAGTTTCCTTCTTATTTTTCTCTCTTTCATATCGGCGCTTCGTAACTTGATGTGCTGATATGAAGTGTAGGAATTGAACCGTTATGTTATAATGTTAGGCTTTATGTTGACATTGGCTTGATTCGACATCGATTTCAATGACGTCGCGAAAATGTAGTACGTTCACCTTGAGATTGAAGTCACCAGGTGTCAAGACTAATGACAGCCAGTCTGTTCTTGTTTAAAACCAAGTTGTTGACAGTCATGCTTTCTCTACCTGCTGTAAAAAACAATGTTACCAAAGAATACTATTTTCAAGTTATCCTCTTGAGTCCCCGAAGTTATCCTTCGGTTTTGTGTTTTCCCGTTCATTCTCATTCTACCAATCCCTTACGAAATAATCTTCCCTGCATCCGTTGTCAAATTTGCGAGTGTTTTCACAATTACTTTGATGCGCCAGTAATATTATTCTGTGTGATATCATATCGGTAGTTTTCCACATGAAGAATTTCATTAATAACAGTATGCCACAGTCATATAATCCCTCCTGTCCATCATGACATTCCCTATATTTCACAGACTACCCATAAAATAGGTCATCTATGATTAGTATTATCAGTTTTGCTTCCTCCATAATCTCAAAATCTGGTAAGATTTCCCATCATTGAGGGAATTATGCATTGGAGAATCGCATCAGTTAGAGAATCACTGGAAAATTGAGACCACTGGATGGTTACCTCGTCTTAGTATGAGACTCTTCAGCGTTACTCACACACGACCTCCCCAAGGACCAATCTCATGACATTCAGCCTCCTCAAGATAGTCCATTCTCCACAAATCTCAAACTAATATTCATCATTCGTTTGACGCCTAATATCACTTTCGCTGCACCATCATATTCTTTTCTGCCTATATAGGTCACCTTAATTTTGAAAATCTGAGATTGATCCACTTTACAATACTTAAATCACATTCAATTTTTAAAATAAATATACTCCTCGCAGATTAATCCTGCATGTAGTTAGGAAATTGCATTTTATAGCTGTAAAGACTGAAGAGAATTGATTGAAAAAGCAAGCTCTGCGTTCATGTTGTCTCTGAATGTATAAAAATGGAAATGTTTAAAATGTTACCTATTTCACCGGCATAGGAGTAAAACGTTTATAATGTAGTAGATTGTAATTCCATTTTAGTTTGTTGATGAAATGTTTCACTTGGTGATAAATAAATGAATCAAATTGAAAGTACTTCTTTTTTTGTCTGGAATCTCCGTTTCCATTCAAAGAAATCGGAGTTCATAAGTCTTGGTTAGTGGCTCACTGCAAAAAATATTGAAATGTGAATAGAAATATACAAGCTTTTCAAATAGCAACTGTTTTGTCTCATCGATAATCCTGCTTTTAACGGAGCCTTCATTTAATGGACAACTCTGTGAAAACTCACATCTTTCTTGGCTTCCATTGGGATGCAGACTGTCGGAAGGTTCATAAACTGTAGCGTTTTCACTTTACCTTTCCGGGTATGAAAGATGAGTCAGACAAATAACTGTTAGTCATTTCCTGAGAACAAATCGAAAATTGTTACGGTACAGTAGAGTAAATATTACTCACAGAATTAACCGCGAAAACTCAACGAAACTATCTTCATGAGTCTGCTTTTGAAATAACTCGAAGGATTTACGAATATAGATTAGGAGTTGAGTGGTATAATGCGTCATACTTGCCCCCAATACACACAGATAATCCAGTTCCAACTCTGATCATGAAAATGTAGAAAATATACGTGAAAACTCAAGGAATCTCTAGAAACCTGGGATTTACACGAAACAACAATCAGAAAACACATTGATGTGGATCCAGTTTACAGTCATCTTACGAAGAAAACGATCATCCTTGAGGCGACTGCAGTCGACCAAGTTGGAAGTCAGTAACAAATGTAGCAACTTCATCTCAACAACGTCTTGTTCCCAGTTTAATTCCGTAAAATGTAATGCTAATTAGGTCAATGTACGCGGAAATCTATTCGTAGATCTCAATGAAACAATTTTGCGTTTAGGTGGAATTGATCAACAAACAGGTGATTATTTCGATGTGCTTTCCATTTTAATACAGTGACTACTAGTAAAACCGAGAATTTCGATGACAGAACCTTAACGATCAGATGTAGAAGACTGCAGAACAAATAGCAAGTCTTGATAACTTTAGAAGTATGCTATTCATGTAGGACCATCCAATAAACTTGAAGCGTGATGATGTTACTAATAAGCTGTTAACAGGTACACAACATTGTGTACATCGATAACTTCATATCCAGAATAATATTTATGCACTAGATTGCCTTTTGAATCACAGGGTTGCATTCAATTACTTATGTAATGTAAGGGTTAATTCAGCCATAGCCTTCCAATGATATTTTGATTCGATATCAAAATCTGTTTCCTAGATGCTTTCAGACTCTCATCGGATTTGTAGGCACAGTTTCTAATATGTCGTAGCTTAATTATGCTAACTATTTCAATCCGTAAATTACTTAACATCTTTCAGATAAATGACTACGGGTGTAAAGTTTATAAATATGTTGTTTGGACTTTATGCGAATCTTAAAAATGCGTATTCTTTTTACTTGTCTTATTTTAAGGGTAATGTGAAGAAAACTCTGAAATAGGATTTCGTGCCTACTTGAACTTATTGCTAATTGGTACATAAATTGATAAGGAAGCTCTTGTGTTCTTAATGATTCAAATCCAATTCAGTTGGTATGTTGTTTCAGTTCCTTAGGCTGCTCAATAGTTTTGTGAGTTTATTTTCCACCAGAAAAGCGTCGCACTTGTACGGTATATATAGGAGACAAGTTATTTAGTTTTCTTCGCTATAACCCTGAAATGAACAAATTGTAATTTCTTCACCTATATGTTTTCTCAGATGCTATTTTTACTAATTATACAGAGGGCTAAACTTACTAGGGAATCCGCTGCATCTTTCTCTTCATTTCTAACTGTGTTCATTCCTTTTTCATATTTTTGGCGTATATTTAGTAGCTTATTCTTCACATATGATTCAGAATGTAGTGAATAGTGTATTAATCACTATAAAGGGGGGTGAAGCTAGTTATCCTGTGATTCGGAGTTATCAGTCAATTTCAACTTGTTTTGTTTGTGGCTATGAGGGTTCTCTAATGGCCGACTGGTGACAACATAACTGAAAGTCTTGTATCTTCATCATGTTACTCTGTTGATAGATGGAACTAGAGAGTATTGGTTGCTATAACGTATTTCAAAGCATTATTCTACATAGTTGTCAAAGAGATAGCCCAAATCAGTTCTCAGTTCAGTTCTTGAACACCTGGTCAATTTTAAGCAATAAGCTTCGCCGGGATCCCCCTTCAATGTCAAAGGGAATAGCTCATAAAAGTTCGCTTTCGAAACTTGTAAACAGTGGGAGAATTGGCAATTCAACAAATCGAGTCTGATCGCTGCGTGCAGAAGAGGTGTGCTCAATCTCTTATCTTGCCGTAGTCCCAGCCCTCCCATACCTTTTCCTTTCCTTTTTCGATTTGTTTCTAATTAATTAAGGAAGAACAAATTCAATCTTAATAGGTTTAGTACTGCATAGTACTCGGCATGAAGATACACCTTCAACCTCTTAGATGAACAACACCAATTGATAATCACCCATGGACTGATCAAGGTATGTAATCCAGTCCTACAGGACCTCAACCGCAGCTCAAATAGGTCAGTGATAAGTCTCTTGCTATGTCACTGCCTGACACAGGTTTGACCTCGGTTCCTTTGATGCTGCAGATACGTCTTACTGACGAATCCCAAGTCAAAAACCTGTCTTCAGGTCTTCGTGACCATTGGTTCAAACCAACTAACTATGAATTGCGGTAATTGACAGACTTCAGCGATGCTTAGACTTGTTAGTTTGATAAGCCCTGGTAACTGAATGCCACACGTTGACTTTGACGTAAAACATGTACCCGAAAAAAATACTTCCATTCTGTTAAGCAATTTCATCCTATTATAACACCTGTAAACGTACTAATTGTTCGGTGCAATTCCTCAGGTTTATCTGTAGTAGTCGTCTTATTCCACAGAAATCATTAAATGTATAACCAGTTTGTGCATGTTAATACCATGATGCTAACCAATGACAGGATTCTGTCGAAGTAAATAAATTTAATCACACCTGATTGGATTACAAGCAAACTAAATAAAATGCTGTCTTATTTAAGACATAACGAAAAGAGATTCATAGTTATTTGTAAATGATGAATGGTGCTATTTGGAGGTCATATTACACTCTTCTTGCTTTTATTGCTGTAGTAAGTGTCAAAGTTGCAAATTTATTATCAGAAAAACAATGCAATAATGCAAAAATAAAATATCTCTCGCTAGGCGGTAACGGTGGTCAAACTATGTCCGAATGATATCTCAACTCATGGGTAAAACAGTTCAAAAATAAACTTCCAGAAAACTTACTAACTTTATCAACATAACATCACAGATGACATAGTTAATTTGGACTCATCACTTCAACCACTTGTCCAGAGCACTTCATTGAGTCTGTCTTTATCGCCTAGCGATTAGGAATAATCATACACCACTTTAATTAACAATAACAATGAAAACTAGTATTTGTTTTTCAATCACAAACATTTAGGTGGTGCAACACCTTTGTTAACCAGGAATGCGGGTGATACAAAATTCAACACCATATATCCCATTGTACTTATTCCTGGTCTTGGGGAGCCCAAGCGTATTGTGAATTAAAAGCGGTGAACCGAAGAGATTCTCTGTATGGCTTAATTTATTCTATATGCCTCTTCCAGAAACAATGGTCAAGTATTTTGGGTAAGTTGCCAATTGCCTGGATTTTCCCTTTAATCTACAACAGTTTACGATATGATCCAACTACTCTGAAGGCACAGGATACGGAAGAATGTCATGTAATATTTCCTGGTTGGGGTGACACATCAACCATAGAGTATTTACAGAGCACTGGATTCCGTTTCTACAATTACTTTGGTTCACTTGTTCGCACTTTGACAATGAACAAGTTTTTTATTAAAAATTTTACACTCCGTGGAGCACCATATGACTTCCGTAAACTACCGTGTAAGCAGTTCATCAGTTTTGTTGATTTACTTTTGTATAGAATTAGGAATCGGAAAGAAATTAATTTATGCAATAACTCATACCTTCAGTAACGAAGAAACTTTTCTAAGTGATTTAGTCATAATATGACTCTAACTTTTCAATTTCTGTCGACGGTAATACATTGCCTGAACTGAACAACCCATACTGAAGCACTTTACTGTAACTTTGGATAACATAACTAGTAGAAACTTCAATTGATGTTTGACCATTTGTCGAAAAGTGGGTAGAGAGCTTCTTCTGATGATGCTGAACGGAACCAGCTTTTGCCGGTTGCATTCTGCTCGCTTACAGATATTTTTCAACTGGCATTTTCAATAATTAACCAAACAACTGCTTGTGAAGTATATTTCCCTCACTGAAATTATCTTCATTTTCTCTGTATAATTTTCACCCTTTTTTTCTAGTAGAATTTATATCTACCATTTTATGAGAAATGTATTGTTTGCGTGATAGGTAAAGACATCCCTCATTTCGTTCAGTGTTGTTCTAAAATATTTTCTAACTGATATAATCTCATTGTTGCATCCTGTGGCATTCTTAAAATCACTGGGGAAGCATGAATGATTTCGTTACTGAGATTGTTTCTGAAGGGTTTTAGTAACCGCATTGTAAGCTTTCACATAAAACACAACAAAATGTTTCTTAGACCGGAAATTCGATGGTAAATTTAACAAACGTTTCTAATTAAGTTTATATGTTAAAGGTGGCATTCATCATGGATTGACATCATTTAAAGAACCACCTTGGATCACTGGACAGACATTTCGTCCTATTATGAGACACCTCAACAGTACGCACCCACGTCCCGGGTAGATGCCGAACTCAGACCGGGTTCTACGGTGAATTCGTTGACTATTCGGCCATTGCGTCCGTGTTCGATGATCCACAGCTTCCTACTTCCATCAGTTCACGATATAGCGTGACTATCACCCAAGGTCTTCAGCTGGCATCCTCTTCACTTCCCACTAGTTGACCCCGTAGGTCACGGCTTCTCATTAGAACTTCGGGATATTCATCTCAAAGCGTGTCACTAATGAGCACTATACTATTTTGAGGTTAATAACACAAAAATTGCCACTAACCTCAAAATACATTTGTATGACCTACGATCAAGACTTGATCAAATTAAGTGACGATATGAGTCATATTTGTTCGACATGATTAAAACAAATTAGTTTCACAGTTCCATGCAGAAGTCCGGTCGAAGCTTTTAACGAGAAATCATTTGAACCAATATATCAAAAAAATACAAATGAGGAGGGAAACGTGTACTCAATATCGTTGTCCAAGTCCAATCATTTTTCTAAAATATGACCAGTAACCAATCAGTGAATCCAAGCCAAGCTAAGATTTGATGGTTTGAAAAAAATTTGGGCATTGATGAATTGATATTCATTATTTTAATATTTTTATTCCTCAATGAATGCAAAGCAACTACCAAAATATTGAATTTCTAAAATCCTGTAATGCTATGAGTGTATTCGTACTCTCTTTCATTGAGAATACGAATCTAAAACGGTCATATATGGCACATGAAGTATGTATGCAAATCCTTTGTGTTAGTGAGTTTGGATGAATTGATATCATCAAATTTCCATTGCATTATTCTTTGGAGAATGTTAGAATAATGATGATCATTGTGATGATTATGTGAGACATCCATCTAACAAACAAATACAATGAGATGTTTTTCTTAAAAAGGTAAGGAATATGAGACTGATGGTGACAGTAAATACGGAAATCGTTCTTCCTACTTGTATCAATTACTAATTATCAACAAGCAAATAACTATACTTCATCTTATCTGTCCTAACTGTTTTTGTTTGCCCACATGTGTGTAGGGCTTCTCAATTAATCTTCCTTAGGATCAACGGAAACCACTTAGCAGGACCCTATTTTGTAGGAGACACTCCGACTGTCAGTTCGTTTTCTTAGCGTTTGTTTATTGAACCTCTTTTCGAAATAATCTGTTCTCTCTGACTTTTAAATTTATCTGTCTTCAAGGTCTCTCTTACATATCTGGTGACCTGCTTGGACCTTGGGCCACCGAACATATGCACCAAATTCTCCTCCTTCAATCTGTTTTAATCATTTAACTACGTCTCGTAGACGTGTCATGTGCTCTTGCAGGGTTTTTAAATGTCAAGTTTGATGGGAATGGGCTTTTCAATGTGGAAGAATTAATATTTCCACTCCTTGGATGCCTATGTCAAATGGCAGATTCTTGTATTGAAAAAATGAAGCGCCACAACACTAAACTTACGTTCGATTTCCTGAATATCCTCCATTCTTGGTCAGAAGCCGATCCAACAGCAGCTGGCTGTTCAAAATTATTGTCTTTAATAGTGCTGTTGTTAAAATCCCTCAGATGCGGCAATCATTTCGTTTGAATATATTGTTATGGAAGTGAACTTGCTGAGAATTTTATACTATACCAAACATACTGTTTGGAATAAAGCGATTATAATTACTATTATAATTACCATTATTATTATTGTAACTACCATTATTATTATTATAGATGTCATACATACTCAAATTTACACAATTTATGCGTTTCTTCCTCACGTGGGAAGAAATGTGTTTGCTTCATTGTTTTAACCTTTTGGCTTTCACAGTGTCCACTAAACAAAGGTAGTAATTGGTACTAAAATATTAACCTAGTTTTGCTTCGCAACTGCTTTTTTCCTTCAAAAATTCCAATTACTAGATGAAAATACCGATTATATGGAAAGTCTGAAGCAGTTGGTTGAAGAGACGTTTAAAAATGCGCAAAATCGACCAGTTGTTTTACTTGGTCATAGTATGGGTGGATTGTATGCATTGAATTTTCTGAATCGACAGACAAAAGAATGGAAACAGAAGTATGTGAAATCATATATCTCAGTTTCTGCACCATTCGGTGGTTCTTTGAGAGCACTGTTGAGCATCACTTCTGGTAAGCTGATTCTTCGATATTCTACTTACGAATTTTATGAATGTATTATGTTTGTCCTTTCGAAAGACATCATCTTATTTTTTAAACACTTGTATATGGAGCTGAATAATTCACGAAAACTATGTTTAATTTACACATAATTTTTGTTGATCTATGTTCTGTCATCTAACTAGAAAATATGATCCGTGTTAGTTAGCTCCAAGTGGATGCAAACTTTACGAGTTTGCTCTAAGTCATCCACATGTACGCTGGTAGTAAAAATAAATGCACAGGAGCTAATATAGTTTCGTATTTGACAATGAATATATGCCAGTGTTTTACTGGAAAAGCGGAAATTTCCGTTTATATGGGTAGAGTTGATTTTTTGTCATCCATAGTAGGAACACTAGTCATAAGCCATTTTTCCTACTCAGGCTTTCTTTGCAGGGAAATGATAAATTCATATCACCTTGAATGAAGCCGAACTCATGATTTCATCATACTCATCTAAATTTACGTGAATGCCTAATTTATTTTAGATATCAAGGGAGAAAGTTGTATAAATTTACCTACGTGACGAGTGTACCATAATGGATGCAGAATTCTAAACTCCTAGTTATTGACATATGAATATTAATTAACATGCACTATTTGTGTCATTTAGTATTCATGAGCTACGCATGGTCTACTATACATATGTAGCGACTATTCGAAGTCTAGCATTTCCGTGACACCTCAGCTTTGAATGCTGCTCTGCAAAAATATAATTAATATAGTGCCGTTTCTGATAAATGCCTGTCTAACTGTCATTGTTATGAGAGTAAGAGCTGAGCTTAAACATAATGATCGCTGTTACAATGCATGCGGGTGTGCACAATTTAAGTCATAATTCAGAAAATCATGCCAAATATTGAGATAAAATTGTCACTAAATATGCACCTGAAAATCTCTTATTTAGATTTCTCAATAGTTTAAGTGGATGTGAACCATTTCAATGCTATTTAATTCTCACAGGTAATACATTTATTCAACTTGCTTTTTACATGACTATACATTGTGAAACACTAATTGTAATGTGAACAGTGGAGGAAGTCATCAGAATTACATGAATGTATGTTTCCAGTTATTCCCTTTGACATACAACACTAGATGACTGTCGAGCACAGTTTGTTACTAACAAGCAATTTATCGTCTTGGTGTGATTACCATTAGTTAAATGTGCTCGGAAAGTCGTCCGACAATTAGTATTATACCACTCTGTACTATGTCAAAAATAGCAGTCCAGCATGGAATTACATCTTACTACGTACAGTGCTCGAATTCTATACATATGTTTTCAGTTTATCCCCATTAATCAGTAATGCACATCTGCAATCGCGAGGAAAGTGATCTATGCGTACATTACAGTGTTGCAGATGGATTGTCTTACCATTGAGTCAGTGCAGTCTGTAACAATGACTTCAGTACAGACTTTATTTTTATCAAGTGAAAACCACTATCTAAGTAGTCTTGTCCCAATGTCTACTATTATAAAGCTTAGCAAGGTGGGTGGTTTTTTAAACTTCCAGTAGGTTTGTGAAGTTTTGTGAGTGCTGAAGAAATAAAATGGAATCTCAGCTCCAAAAATAAGCACACCAAGCGAATTGATGACACCGTGCCTAAAGCTCAATTAAATAAAAATAAAAACGTATAGCATACAATTTTTAGGAATGTTTACGTATTGTACCTCGTGAATTCCATCCTTCTTGAGTCATAAGACTTCAGTGATCGATGCAAACGTATATATATATATATATATATATATATATATATATATATATATATATATATATATATATTAGCTTTCGGCTTCAAAGTCTAGTAAAATATGTGCACAAAACTCCTCTGATTAATAGTAGAAATCAGTCTACGGGAAACCTGGCAAAGAACGATGGATGTTTTCAAAGTTGTTTCCAATTTTTATTCCGTTACCTTTTCATATTTCATTTGATTCAATCTGGATGAGGACCCAAATTTTATAAATATTTTCTTTTCTAAGACGGTACAGTTGCCAATCAAACAGTAAGTAATTAAACTGATCATAGTGACACTGAAAAGATTTTCGAATACGATTAGGAATAAGTGCTAACTTCTTAATAGTAATAGTAATAATAATCGCTTTATTCCAAACAATATGTATGACAGCATGGAATTCTCAGCATGTAATTTTTCAACAAATTCACTCCCAGAACATTACTTTCAAGCGAAACGGTTATTGAATCCGAATGGTGTTAATACTAACAGTATTCAGTGGCAATAATGTGAAACAGCCAGCCGGTTCTAGATGGGCATCCGGTCCATATTGAAGAATTAACAGAAATGCAAGCATAGTTTTGGTGGTGGCGGTTCATTCAGATGGTACAAATATCTGCAACTCAACCCAAGCACCTGACAGATCGAAGTTTCATGTACCTTACCTCACCGAAAAGTCCATTTCCATGTTACGCAACTTTTTTCTCCCCTTTCTTATTGAGTCAAGAAACGGAGAGTTGGAAAGAGTTTAAAAATGTGCAAGAGTACGTGAGACGCTCAAAGGACACATTGAAATGATTAAAACAAACTGAAAGGAAAGAATTTCACGAAGGATGTTCGATGGATAAATTTGGTAGCTCAAACTTAACACTATCTTAGATTGGGAGACAGTTTCATACTTCTGGTGAATGAATACTGATAGCTGTGATTTCCCATTGCTGTTTCTAAGTTGAACTACTCGACCTGTATTGACATATGGGCTCCTATGTGGAAGCTTCGAAACTGCCCGGATATTCATTCTTTTATAGTGTATCTGCTGGTTAGTAGTGGAATCCAGGATGCACATTTCGTCCTATTTCGAGCTCGCCTGCTAGATGTACTTGCACACCAGTGAGTGATGGTGTTCCCACTGAGACTCAAACCCAATGCCCATGGCTTCAAACACCAAACGTTATCTACTAGGTGACTGGGGTTACAAGCACCACCTATCTTGCAACGAGTGTCAGTTGTTGTTCATTGAGATATATATCTGAGATTAAATATATCCAAATACTTAACATAAACAAATGTTAATCAACACAAGCAATCCAGTGGCTAAATTTATTGTACAGCCTACTGACTGGTCATCCAAGGATGTGAAGTATTTCCTCCTCAGTTATCCACAATAGCTCAGCATTAAAATCTACGATTGTACATCGATTCTTAACATGTGGGAAACTATGCGGAAATGGCTGGAAATTTGAATTTGTGGACAATGAGCCCCAGTGCATGAAATAGTATTATAACCTTCAGGCTGTCTTAAATCACTACATTTCACTTAGCTCCAATGTTTTAAATACAAAACGAAACATGAGATAAAACTCTTTTATCAAATGCTCCTTCCGCTTGCCTTTAAAATTAAGTTCAACTTTATCTTAGTCCGAAATATTATTTCTGATATTTTCAGTGAATTTTCAACAGGAGTTCATGCTGTGGACTGAAGTAAATTAAAGAACTACTGAACAAGTGGGTGTACTGTACAGTTTTTTCATCTATGTTCAAGAGTTTTTTCAATCCCTTATGGGGTAGTGGGTACTCATTGGTAAGAAATCCCTCACTGGGAAGAAACAGCTGCCCAGTTTTCTCAAGTTTCGCCAAATGATATCACTCCGTTGATAAAACTACTCTGAAATCAAACAATACTCACAAATCACCAAATGAATCACTAAATTTGTCTGAGATCACAAACATGTATGTAACTTCATGAATATCACTGTCATCTGTAATATGTGCACATAATCAAGTATTACAAATCATAATATTGAAAAGTAAAGTAGAACAGAAGATGGAAATTAACAATTTAGAACAAGTAACCAAAAACAATTCAAGATTCGCTATATACCATGATAAATTTAAAAATGGAATATTGTCATCAGAAGTACCTTTACAAAACGAAGATTTTCATTAAGTTAAACTTTATGGGTGTAAACGACACCTAACGATTTAAAAGAAACTACTTCTTACTAACCTTTTTGACTGAACTTCATGATTGTGACTTAATTTAGGTTGACCGGTGATAATCCACACGTCAACTGAATGAAATCTTATGGTCGAACAACAACTCACCAGGTGATGTGATGGTGTATACAACAATAGTTCATACTCACCAACTAGAGCCAGACATAACAAGGTTATCACTTAAATCATAAGAATAAGATTGAGGTAAAACAGGTACAATCTGATCTACAAGTAACAAATAATTAGTTAAGAATAATATGTAGGCTGACATATGGCCAATACGTATCCGCTCGAATAAAATTACTTTTAGATTGCAAACAGACAGACAAACATATCAGTGATTATCAAGCTGAAACGGAAGTATGTAAGTCCAAGTTACCACACTTTACACCAGTATGCTAGGAGGAGATGGACAGAAAATGAACGACATTTAAGGAGACGAAAGTTCTTGAAGGTTTATGGAAATATTCAATCAAGACTTGAATGACCAATTTTGAGCCCAAAATCTTCAATCACTGATTTTTATTGTCTCAAGAAACCCAGTCACCTTCCTTAACGGCTTGGAACAACAATCACAGACTTCATGGACTTATGCGTCGTTTTAATTTCATCACACTTAATTTTCTGACTAAGTTCTACTTTGGCCAACATTGTGCGTCAAGAAACCTTCAAGGAAAATCCTTAGATTAAAGTAAATAAGATGGGTAAAATGACTTCTATTTTCTTTAATCGAGTTTTGCATGAAAATAGCCTTAGGTGTTTAAGAAAATGAAATTATTTTGAAGTCTGATCTGTTAAAATTTATTCTAACCTTTCTTTGTACAATTCTTCTGACTGGCTATGATTGTGCAAAAGACTTTTTACTCACTTACTTCAATAACTGTTGTTAACTTAATAGTTTTGTTGGATTCCAAGATCTTTTCAATCATGGACTGATTTTTCAACTGGGGAGAAATACAAAGCCAGTAGCCCGAAAATAGTATTTCGTATTAGTTTTGAACTCCTCTAAGGTGTGAACCTATAAACCCATGATGAGGAGAGCAAGTGGACGTCAGATATTATGGTGAAAATATTACAATTCAGCCACTAGACTGAAATCAAATGGTTCACAGTTTCCAGTTTCTGCTGATACACGATTTGGCGCAACCATAATCTTCTACCATTGACCTCTTTTTTGATAAATGTGCGTAAGAAGTATCATAAACAAATCAGTAATTAGTTGTGGCTATACAGTCGTGAAAACAAAGTCACATCCAATATTTTGTCATGCTGACAGGTACACTTTATTATTTACAAATTTTGATCAGCATTTTCAAAGCGAGTGGTTGGTTTCTGCATATCAGTGCAACAAATCTGAGTTAGCTGTTCAATGGTCCTTTTTCTGTCATAGAATCACTTCATATTTAAGGAAATCTACCTCTGTTCTGGCAAAATATTCACTCAGTGTTTCAGAGTGGCTTATCACGAACAACTAACCATTCATCAACTTTAAAAACTGCGCTAAGCACTCAAATTTTCGCAGTACCCTTCAGTTGGGAAGCCTTTCAGCAAGGCTTAAAGTTTGTTCCGTTTTGCTTCTTATTCAATCTATAGTACCTCCTAGATAAGTATGGGTTGCTGTGTGGCGTCTGATAAGGATGGATATGACGCAAAAGATCTCAGAGATTATATGAAAGAAAGGATTTAATGAGAGATAATTTGACTGCTGTTCAACTTCAACGGTCAATTCAGCAGCATGAGTCATACAGTTGTTTAGAAATACGAAACTGGTAAAAGCAGCAAAAGAATGAATTCGTTACTGAAATTTAATGATTGACATGACCATTTTTTTCCTTGACCGAAATGTGACTCATGGTGTGAAGTAGTTGTATAATCTGTTTCCAAGTTGGATATAGCCTAAACCATGTTCACAATTTAAATGTTATACTGCTGAAGTCTGCAAGATTAGGGGGTCAGATGAAAATAAAATTCATGTAGATATTTACAGTGCTGACTTTTTGACTTCCAAAATAAAGTCCATAATGTATTTTGAACGCTAAGAATAATTTGCACTGGAAACTTCAACTGTCGGTGGTATCCTAGGTTACCACTCCATAGATGTATGTATTTAAGGGATATAACGTCAAAATAATTAAGTCTACAGATACACAAAACATTTCATCTTTGAGAAATTCATAGGAATACCTAGTAGTTTTTTATTTGATAACTGAGTACTTTCGAGTTTGCTGCATATTTTCGAATGGTTGTTTACCGTCTTTCAGATTGCCTTTATTCACTATTTTTACAGTATTTTTTCACTGACTAGATATTTACATGTAATGTTTATGTAAACTCTGTTTTCATTGATATTATGAAATACTGTTTTTATTTTGCTATGATGTAGTGGATTTTCATTCAGTTCTTATTCTTTCACAGTAAAGTTGTATTTATCATCTCACTTCAGCCTTTCTGAAATGTCCACTTTGGTCAGTAAGCATTATATCTGTAAGAATTTGGCCACTGATTAAAATTCTGTGGCTTCGTTTTGTCTCTGCTGGTGGGGAACTTTATTTCTTATTTATGCACACACATACAGAGACTTCAGTCCATGTTATTCAGTTGCAGTTTGATTCAAGTTTTTTGGATTTCGATAACGTTGATAATATCCTACAAATTTTTGTAATGATACCTGTAATTTGCTATACGAGGGGGCCGAATCGCTCGACCTCCTTTGGCAAATGGGATATTATGCGGATGTCTTGATATTCCTGGATATTCATGATGTACTGAGTTCGAGCCTTAGCGAGAATATTACTCACTGGAGTACAGGTACGTCCAACTGGCGAGTCCCAAATAAGACGAGATGCGCATCTTGGATTCCTCTCTTAGTCACCAAGATCAATGTATCTTAATTGTTTCACACTAACTTGTCTTGCTGATTCCACAATGTTGGAAGTTGACTCACATTTAAGCGTCACATTTTTATAACAGCTGAACTGTTTAGTTTAAACTTGCATGAGAGAATCGTGAATTGATCCCAATAATCTTTATCAGTGGTTAGATGTAGGTATGGTGATGACCACACGCACACAACACTGGTCTCTTTAAAAAAACAATCCAACCAACTCTTCATTCAAGAATGAACAAAAAATGTCCTCATTCTATATGTAACAATGTTACACAAGTCTCATTTGATTAAATAATTCTAGACTAAACCAGCAGTTTTCAGCGGAAATACACCATTGTTCTTCAAGAGTATCTTGTACCTTGAACTAATATACCCGAAGTACAGTTCATATTCGGAATGAAATCAGTATTTCTTTCTTACACTAGTCATAATACCCCCATTCTATCGCAATGTGGTAGATGTGATGACATTTAAATGTTCGGTCATTTATTTTATATAGTTATTGTTTCATGAAAAAATGTATATGATGGAAAAGGGAGCATTAAAGCATAGATTAATATCATCTCATTTAGCTAGTCTCACTGTAAATCCACTTTGTCATTTCACTACCTGATACCGATTTGTAGTCAAGTAGAGATTTGATCTACTGAACTCGATGTTTACTTGAGCAATAACAAAGATGGGACTGGATTCTACTTTTCTGTAATATTGCTCACTGAGTAGATACCATCAATCTTAATCATTGATTGTCTATGTTCACAGATCTTGAAAATTCTGTCATTTGGACTCATCTTCACAGCATTAGTTTTTTACCCTAAACTTACTATCACTCTATTCTGTTCTTACGACCCATCTTTTATATTTTACTTGAAATCTTACACAATAAGTTCATACCGTATCAGTATGGGACTCCCCAGCTGTACGCACCCAAGACCACGCCAGGGATCGAACCCAGAACCTTCAGGTTCCATGGCCAACACGTTATCACTGAGCTACAAGGTCACAGTCCATTTCCTACTTCTGTCAGTTCACGATATAGCGCGACCTCCATCCAATGCCATCATTCAGTAACTGTCCTCATGTTTGACTCCTTCCGTCCCACCGGTCGCGACTTCTCTTTGGAACTTCGAGAATCATATCTCGAAGTTAGTCACTAGTAAGCACTATCTTAATTCAGTTTAGAGGTTCTTGGGGATTTATTTATTGGTTTCGGGTCGGTATTCATCATGGACTGACATGAGTTGGAGAAACATTGGAAACCTGGGAGCACTGAATACCTGTTTCGATCCCTAGCGAGGTCGTAAGTGTGCACTGCTGAGGAGTCCCATAGTAGGACGAAACAGCTATCCAGTGCTCCCAGGTTTCCAGTAGTTCTCCAACTACTGTCACCTCGCGGTAAATACCCACCTGATATCACCATGATGAGCGGAAGTGAATTCATTGACTCTGTCGGTAATAATTCAGTTCTATGCTGTTGATTGATAATCTTTAGGTGAAAACTTTGGGATATTTTTGCGAAATCCTTTACATTATCGACCAATCCTGCGATCGTTCTCTTCCATCATATCAAATCTACCTGATCCAAGAGTATGGTCAGAAGATGAGCCTATAATATCAACACCAACGAAAAATTACACAGTGAAAGATTATTCAACTCTTTTTAACGATATCAATTTCTCACTTGGTAAGTCATTTTTCAGTAGAAATAACAATAAAATCCGTGAATATCCTCTGTGCAGTTAACTTTGTAAGTAAATTACCGAAATATATTATTGACGACTGGCTTACAGCTTAAAAAACGGTGAACGATCCATAATGCATTTATTTGGTTGTGGCTTTGTCAGTAGAAGTGTGACTACTGTGATACGATTATATGCAATAACTTATACCCAAAACGCAATCCAGTAAATAATACTGGGTTATATCAAATAAACAATCGCATGTGGAATCCCAATCTAGCGCAAAACTTGAAGTTTTCTCTGAAATTAAAATGTTCATTAATGATAGCAACATGATAAAGGTAAGTCAATAGGTCCATAGCTTGTATAAGATACTTCTATGGAGGAAGGCAGGCAGTTGGTAGAGCCTCGGGCCGGAAATCCGATGGTCGCTGGTTCGGATCCGACAGCGGTCCAAGTTTTCATTTCACCTGCAATAATTTACTTGGTTTATATTATTTTTCAAGTTTATTACTAATGATAATCCTTCACAATGAATTATATAAACAATTTCGTAAGATAGTTGAAGTACTTAGTAATTTCAAAGACATGATAACTGCTCGCTGTTGCGCAGCTGGTTGATAACACTGATTCCTACACGTTTAACTTCACATAACACGCAGATGTGGGTTCACACCACTCACTATCTAGTGCAAGGAACCCACCTTCCAAATCAAGTTGAAAGCCTTCAAAGAAGTTGGTGATAGACGACCACAGTTCAAGTCCAACACCCAGAACGGAAACTGAACTGCAGGACAAAACTACAAAGGACATCTTCACGTCAGGTATCAGGACAGAATGAGAGATATTGAGGAGGAACCTGTGTGAAGGGACCTGGGTGGAAGAACACTGGAACTCTTTGAAAGCTGTGTGGAAAGAAACCTGCATAACCGTATTAGGAAGGAAGGGAAAACAAGACGATACAAGGAGTGGATCTCAACGGATACATGGAAGCTGATAGAGGAGGGAGAGGGAGAGGGAGATGGCGATGGTGAATCAGAAGATGAACCAGTGCAGTGCAGTGCAGTGCATTGTAGCGTGGTGCAGGGATGAACAACGAAAAGAGGAACTGAACGCAACGCATAAAACACTACACTGGACAGAGAAGTCAAGAGGAGTGCGCGCAGAGACAAAATACACTTCCACGACAGACACACTGGCAAGTGAAGCAGAACAGGCTGCAGGTAGGAGAGAGAGACCTGACAACATTATATCAAATAACCAGGTTACTATTTGATATGGAAGCGATCAACGCAGATGAAGCCAACGAAAGGTAGTGAAGGGAACTTAGTTACCACCAAAGAGGAGAATGGAAGGAAACGATGGGCTGACCACTTCAAAAACCTCTTGAATCGACCACCACCATCACCATCACCATCACCACCACCACCACCACCTGCAACTCGTCCAGAAACACCACCAGCAGTCCAGCCACAGAAATATCAGTGAAGCAAGCAATCTGACAAAAACAGAAGTGAAGTCATGAACACCAAGCCATAAAGTTGCTGAAATCCAGGAAAGCAACAGGACCAGATGGGATTCCTCCAGAAGCACTGAGAACAGATGCAGACACAATAACAGCGAACACACTCACACCACTTTTCCAGAAGGTTTGGAAGAAGGAAGGAAGGAAGGAAAGGTAACTGGCGATTGATTGGAAGAAGAAGGGCTACCTTGTCAAACTGCCAAACAAGGGTTGGTAGCCTGAGTCTTTGCAAGAACTGGTGAGGAATGATGCTCCACTCCTGTCCACCCCAGCAAGCAAAATATTAAGCCGCATCATTCTGGAGAGACTAAACAATGCGTTGGATGCAAAATTACGACAGGAACAGCCTGGTTGGCTTCAGGAAGAACAAATCATGTGCAGATCAAATTGAGATGCGACACGATACGATGCTACACATCATCATAGAACAGAGCATAGAATGGCAGTCAACTCAACTCAACCTCAACCTCAACTTCATCGATTTTGAAAAGGCCTTGCTTCGACAGCGTCGACCAAGAAGTAATTTGGCAGGCTGCTGCTTCAACACTACGTTTTTAATGCCACAAACCTTTATCAACCTCATTCAACAGCTATTTGCTGTCTGATGACACATGCCAGTCGAGTGATTGACAATGGAAGGCTCAGTGACAGATTTGAAGTGAAGACAGAGGACAGGAGTAAGACAAGGTTGCCGCCTACTATCACCGATGATCTATCTTCCTGATTGTGGTCAACCGGATCGTGCAGCAAACGGTGAGTAGCGAGAAGATGGGCATATGCTGGGTGGACCGATGAAGAGACCCTAGAAGAAGATTTGGATTTCGCCGCCACCACCGCCGCCGCCGCCGCCGATGATGATGATGATGATGATGATGATGATGATGATGATGATGATGATGATGATTTATGTCTAATGTCTTGTGGCACAAACTCGAAGATCTACAGGCGAAAAGCAACAAGTTGGCAGAAGAGGTGAGGCGAGGCGAGGTGATGCAGCGAATACGGAACTTCCTTCAGGTGAACGTGGAGAGGATAGAAGTGATGGAGACACGCAACCAACCACCACCACCACCACCACATCAACAACAACAAGAGGCACCAATCACCATCAACGGGAGAAACCTGGAGGAAGTAGTCTCTTTCACCTACCCACCTACCTAGGAGGCAGCATCGTTTCAACTGCAGGCGGCACAGGCACAGATGAGGATGTGAACTTACTTATTCACTTTCCTAAAGAAAGACGATGAGAAAGCTGGAAATGAAGTGAATGTTCAGCGTTCTCTAGAATGACTACAGTAACCTACTGGGATGAATTGAAATTACTGTTGACATGTGTATCAATTAGTTGGGTTAGTGATACACATCAGACGTTTCCGAAAGTCTTCAATCCTAATCTTATTGCCTGACGGATGCATGCTAGTGGCAACGTCTGGGCACCGGAGAGTCAATCCTGTATGGAAGATTGTTGCTGTTTTTGTTACACAAATGTCGAACTACTATGTGTTGTCCAGTGCGTCCTATTCTTCACTCATTTTCAGACAATAAGGTGAACAAATTGTCTGGTATTGCTGAAATGATAGAATGCAATTACTTTGGTCCGAAAGCCATTGAGTCGATTGCTTCAAAGGATTTAAAATAAAAAGGAAATTGAGTCAAATGAGTGAATGGTGAAGTTTCGGTTGCTAATTTCAAACAAAATAATGTCAAGTTTCGTCCTAAATAAATAGTAAAGGCTAGCTGATTTAAACAGATTTGTCCATAGAATGCGTCGCCGCCTAAATCAACCACAAATATTCTCTAGTTCAGCAACTTGAAATTAGTGGCTACCAGTAGGACCAAGGACGCGCGTTTCTTCCGATTTGGGGCTCGTCAACTTGATATGCGTGTCTCTCAGCGATTGACGTTGTTCCCATTAAGACTCGAACCCAGGACTAATCGTACCAAATGCCAGAACGTTACCCACTATGCCACAGAATCACCATCATGGGTATCAAGACTGAAAGTACAGGTAATATTGGGCTATCCGCTTACGAACCTGTATACGAATATTGGCTGATGCGATCAACAGTGTAGATTTACAACCTATACCATCAAAACTTGAAACTATTCAATAAGTTTTATATCATTTTTTGCATCTGTGTATCTTACAGGTTATGACATAATGCTGAAAGCCAAAGAAAACTTTAAAACTCTTGAAGCACCAAAAGATGTCCGTGAAGTATACTGCATCTACAGCTCTGGTCTCTTGACAATAAAAAAGTTGGTCTACAAAGCGGAGGGGAAATCGCGTTCTGCTTTTCCTGACCAAGTACCGATGCTAGTGTATGGTGATGGTGATGGAACGGTTACCATGAAAAGTTTATCAATATGTAACGGATGGCCTAATGCAAACATTATTCACTTGACCGCATCAAATCATGTGCCTATTTTATCTGATAAACGGTTTCTTAAATTTATAATGTCTCATGTAGTCAGTTAACTGCTAAGATGAATAAGTGTTAAAACAAAGCATCTTCTGAGCACAAATACAAACGAGTATTGCGTATGGATGCGATAATCTTTTGAAACGAAACTGATAACCTTATTGCTCTGATTTTATTTTTCACTTTACTGAATAGCTGGACGTAAATCGAATACTTAAAAGCTAGAATAACTGTGTATGCTTGAGAATTATTCATTCAGAGATTCATGCTATCCTGTTGGTCAGCATAAACTCAAAGAAGGTTGCTGAACAGACATCCAGTAGTTGTAAACGATCATTTAAATGAATTTTGACTGCCAAGTGTTTTGTGAGAAATGATATTCTTTTGCTTTTCATTCTAGTAAACAGTTAGCAGATGTATCTTGTATAATTTTTCTCGTGAACTAGGTATACAAACCAAACACAATATTTAGCTTGTTATCGCAACTTCATAACTAGTAGAACACGCAGCACTGTTGACATGTAGTTTAGTGTTTTCCGCATGTTGTTGCGCAACCTCATTGGGGTTTATTCTCATCAAATTCTGAGTTTAGACTAGGCTTGACACAGTTTGCTCCCTTTACGATTTTCGAAAAAAACAAAAACAGTTCATCTGAAACATGTAATGTATTACATTTCGAACGAATTGATTACGCACTTACTTGTTGTGCACATTCATAGGAAACATAACAAAGGATAAATGGGTTTGTAAACAAGCGATATAATAAAGGATCAGGTTGTTAGTTTAGAGGTCAAACCAAAGGTAGAAAGAGAAAGATTATAAATGCATTCCCCCTTCATATTACAACTGAGTTATTGACTGAGGCTTATAGTGACACCAAATTGTTTCCGAATGTATAAAAGAGGTACATATCCGCAATAGGTTTTGCAAGTAGGCATAAAAGAAGTGTACAAATCAACTCTGTGACTGATTTCATTGATGTTGGTTAGGCGTAAAAGTTGGACATCTGACTGGGGCAGTGAAAGCGTACGATGGGATTTTGTTGTGTCCTTACTTGCATAGACCGAAGGGTCATCCTTACGTATGTGACTACATGTGTATGTCTGACAAGTATGTAATTAAATTGATAGGAATGCACAGCGCTAATATGTCCGACTTCTAGCATGAACGTAAAATTTAGTTCTACCCTATCTGTTTTCTCTCTTACCTGGATGATTGAAATGAAGGCCATGTGAACAGGAAAACGTCATTCATCTTACACTCTTTAATCTTGAACGGGCTTAAAATACATTTTAATTTTTCTAAGCAACAATTAAAATATCAGCAGTGAACATTTCAAAATTATCTTAAAATGCCTTTGTTTTAATTTTCGTTTATTTGTATTCAAATGAAAGAAAACGAATCCAGAAATCTGTAGACTATATCTTAGGCATAAAAACTGTTGGTAGACCCCATTATATAAATTATCCTGGTGTTGATAAGACTGAAGACAACGGAGTGTTATTGCCAACATTTAAACAATCAATCCAGACAGAAAAAGAAAAGTCGCCTCATACTAAAATGTGAATTGCATTAGTACTCAGTCTAAGTACATAAGACATGCATGTGAAAAGTATGGAGAAAATGAAACGGATGCAAAAAACTGGATTTATTTTCGAAATTGTTTATACGATTTTCTGTGGCCAAGACAGAGATGAGAGTTGCACTCACTTTTTCTGCACACAAAGACTAGAGTTTTTTTCTCATATTCATTCCCATCGCCTCAGCTATATGTAATTTGCGAGTACGAATTCTATTCGCATCATTTTAGGGAATGAGATAGATGATTCTGAACGCTTTGGTCTTATGTGTTACGTTACCAATACCGACCAGATGCAAAAAATTGAACGTCTTATTGATTCCCCTTTTCTAGCTATACGTAGTTGTCTAAATTAATTTGTTGTTTCTCAGCTTTACTGTTTAATTCTGTTTCATCACAAAGTTCTCGATACTTGGTTTTGTCATTCACCGGGGACTTCATTTTGTCAATATATTCACTTCTGTTCATTTGGGACATGGACACTCCCTGATCTGGTTTACTTATTATCAGGCTTTCATCCTTTTTAGTTTCCTCTAAACTTCTCTGTGTTGCTTTGTTAACAAACCTTTAGCAGAATAAATACTGTTTGTGTATTGTTGGCAGCTACAGACCAATGTAGTTTTGAATCTGATGATGGGACTAAGTCGTATTTTTGTGAAATTAAGCTTTCGAATTCCACATTTCCATCAAGTATGTTAATATTGTGTTTGAAGTCACAGAATTTAGGACAAAGTGATCAAATTTCTAATTCAAATTTATCTAGTTCTACACTCGAAAAATTATGAACATACCGATTGGGGTCAGAAGGGAATTTCACTCCTCACTTCCAGTTTTCTAATGACTTGACTAGTTTCTTAGCTCATTTTCATAATGAAGAAAACTACATATATTTATTCCTGTAGCAGACCATCGACTTAAAATTCCCTTCGTGATAAATTTTTGTCAAAGTCGAAGATATACAGTTTTATGGAGTTCATCAGATTAAAAGCATGTCCATTTGGTGTTATAGAACAGAACTATGGTAAATATTTGTAATGACGTAAAGACTTCAAATATAATTTCGGAAATCGTTCGTTTTTTATGCATTCACTAATAAGTTCCACAGATTTCTCTTCGGTGGGTATAGCATTATAATTCAGAAACTTATTGCGTGCCTTCACAGTAATACGATACCCATGTGAACTAGGAATGTTAAAAGTACTCATCCTCACATTTTACAGAAACATGAGAATAGAATTCGTACTCGCAAATTACATATAGCTGAGGCGATGGGAATGAATATGAGAAAAAAACTCTAGTCTTTGTGTGCAGAAAAAGTGAGTGCAACTCTCATCTCTGTCTTGGCCACAGAAAATCGTATAAACAATTTCGAAAATAAATCCAGTTTTTTGCATCCGTTTCATTTTCTCCATACTTTTCACATGCATGTCTTATGTACTTAGACTGAGTACTAATGCAATTCACATTTTAGTATGAGGCGACTTTTCTTTTTCTGTCTGGATTGATTGTTTAAATGTTGGCAATAACACTCCGTTGTCATCAGTCTTATGATAAGTTTGAATTAGAAATTCGGTCGCTTTATCCTAAATTCTGTGACTTTAAAGACAATGCTTTGGATTTCGCCGCCGATGATGATCTATGTCTAATGTTTTGTGGCACGAACTCGAAGGTAAACAGGAGAAAACGAACAATTTGGCGGAAGGGGTGAGGCAAGGCGAGGTGATGCAGCGAATACGGGACTTCCTTCAGGTGAACGTGGAGAAGGTAGAATTGACGGAGATATGCAATTATCCACCACCGTAAGAACAACAACAACAACAACAAGAGGCACCAATCACCATCAACGGGAGAAACCTGGAGGAAGTAGTCTCTTTCACCTACCCACCTACCTAGGAGGCAGCATCGTTTCAACTGCAGGCGGCACAGACACAGATGAGGATGTCAAAAAGAGGATTGGAAATGCAAGGCAGGCCTTCATTACTCTAAAATCCTTGTGCAGATCTACTGTACTCAGCATAAAGAGCAAGATCTGGACTTTCATAATGATGTCAAGTCAGTGCTTCTGTGTGGTGGTTGAGAGACTTGGTGCAATACGAAAAGCATTTCCAACAAACTACAGACATACATCAACAGCCGTCGCCTATACTTATTCGATACTGAAGATCGGATGATCAGAATAATAAGAATTAGCAACAAGGAACTCTGACGGGTCGGTTGGCAACGAACCAACCAAGAAGCCATCTCTCAACAAATATGCAGGAGAAAATGGAGATAGATTGGATTGGGAATACACTGAGAAGGCCATGGGAGACATCACGCACCAGGCCATCGAGTGGAATCCAAAGGGGAAACGATGAGTTGGGCGTCCGTGGAGAGGGTGATATGGAGGAGATCGTGTGAGGAAGAAATGAAAGCTGCTGGGCAGACGTGGATCCGGGTTCAAAAGACTGCAGAGGAGAGGGTGCAATGGAGGCGTGCTACTGAATCATTATGTTCCATTAGGAACCCAAGGGACACATAATAATAGTATGTTCTTAGCTTCAAGTGAACGATAGACTCACAGCCTACCTTTAATATGCTTAGGCTTAGGTTAGTCGCGAAATATCTTGTCCATAACTTGAACTTCCCGCTGGCTTTCATTGAAATTATACGTGAACATTTCACTTTCTAGAACACAATAACTTCTCTAGCTAGCTTAGGACGCCTAACCCACATAATTTTCTGCGGAGCCAGCACTACACTGGCTCACCTTCTGATTCACTATCGCCATCTCCCTCTCCCTCCTCTATCAGCTTCCATGTATCCGTTGAGATCCACTCCTTGTATCGTCTTGTTTTCCCTTCCTTCCTAATACGGTTATGCAGGTTTCTTTCCACACAGCTTTCAAAGAGTTCCAGTGTTCTTCCACCCAGGTCCCTTCACACAGGTTCCTCAATATCTCTCATTCTGTCCTGATACCTGACGTGAAGATGTCCTTTGTAGTTTGGTCATGCAGTTCAGTTTCCGTTCTGGGTGTTGGACTTGAACTGTGGTCGTCTATCACCAACTTCTTTGAAGGCTTTTTATTTTCAGAAAACCATACTACGCGGTTATTCAGACTGAAAGTGCAAAGAAGTCATGAGAACACAACAGACAGAATGAGAATGCAGACCACAGAATGAATGACCAGCCAAATGAACAAGCTGCTTTCATAGTTCGAATTAAGAACGAAGAGTACGACAGACAGACACAATCAACGTAGAACCCCCCCCCCCATATGAGTTCATCCACTAGAGCTGCAACACTTCACAGTTGTATACAACGAACAGGTGGGCAGAAAAGGACTAAGAACAAACTAGCAAAGTTTTATGAGAGTAAATTTAAAGATTAGACTAAGTCAAAACCTTTAAGTAATAGAAGACGTCAAAAAGTGAATACATATGCCGCACTGTAACTGATCTTCAGCAATCGCACCAAAAGCCCTAAACCACTAATTTT